TAACCAATGATTGTCAAATTTCACTCTCATTTCTGGCAAAATATTTTTACTTTTATTGTGACTWGCAATTATTTCTAATAACTTGGTAGATTTATAGGTTTAGTGATTTTGATCGTTCTTTCAAAGCTTTTATCCCTATGCACTTGATGAATTAGAGCATTAATAGACAAATCTAATCGCTTACACTGTTTCCCTTCAAGATAACAATATTTTATACTTTTGTGCATCGTTTCTAAATACATATTTGTATTAATTAACAAATGTTTCCTAATTAAAAAATGCCCATTTTTCTACTCTTGTTGAATAGGTACTTATAAAATATTTTCTAAAGTCCACCGTATCAGCATCATTAATAAGTTGGTTTATAACCTGTGAAAGTTCAGCTGAAAAAGCTTTCTCATCTGTTTCGTGTAAGAGTGTTTTAAGAGTTTTAAAAACAATGGTTTTTTTGTCATGTGAGTGAATTCTATTTAAATTTTTTGACCAGTTTCTTAGAACATGTCATGTACATAATAATTGTTTTTAAACAGATCCTATCACACAATTCCATGCATTATAAAACKCGGGTTCATCATCGGACATAAAAATTAATGGATTTATTATTCCTATTGTATTTTTAATACATTGAAAATAGTGTTTATATGTAGCTGTATCACATTTATTGGAAAAACAAAAAGCTACTGGAAATCCATTTCCATATTCATCCACAATAACTAATGAGTATAATTAAAAATTATAACTATTCAATCCATGTGTACCATCTATACAAACTTTATCTTTACCAAATTTTAAAAACATTTCTGATTGAAATTGTGTCATAATGATTAAACAAAAATCATTTTTACTGAAATGTAGAACATTATCATCGTCTTCCCCTTGTTCCTTAAAATATAAAACCGGATTGCCTTCACCTTTCTTTTTCATAGCTTCCACCCACAATCTCACACTGACAGCATCGTTTTCATGTGATTTAGTATTGTATGAAATATTATAATCTCTTTTAATATTGTGTAAATCTTTTTTTCAATCAAATGAATCCTTTTGAATTCTGTGCCAAATTCTAATCCTCGAATGTCATCTAATATTCGATTGACTGGTACTCCAATTGCTAACTTTCCTGAAAGAGAATGGATAATATGCCAATAATTTTAGGAGAAAATTATATTTTACATTTATATTATATAATTTGTATTTTTTTTTTCAGATTAAAAAAAGACAAAAATACAGTTTTACAGAACTTTTAAAATGTTACATTTGTAATGTTACAATGTATTACCTGCAATTTTATTTCTTTCTTCGATAGAGATTTGCTGTTTTGCAATTTCAATAGCATGCCAAAGATGAGTACTACAATATTCAACACTAACCTTGGAATTATCTTTATGGACTACTATATTTGATGTGCATACATACCCAGTTTTTACAGACCCTCCACTTTTTGAACTTTTTTTACCCTATTTTATTAAGTATTTAATATCATTGAATTTTTTTTTTACATATTGTATGACTTAATTTAAATTTCTTACATTATTAGTAGTCCTTGAATCAAAAGATCTATGACAAAAGAAATATATATATTCTTTATCTCTACTATGCTTTTAAGATGTTCGTTTTACATACTGGCACTCTTCCTTTTCTTCGACACCCGATTTCCATTCATTTAATCYTTTTAAAACAAATTATCAGTTATATTGGAAAGTCGTAAAAAAAATGTTATAGTAAATGCTAATAGGTACCTTCAATTGTGTTAAAATTAAATTTATTGTGTACTATGTTTACTTCATGTATAGTTTCAAGATGATTACTATAAATCTTAAATGTTTTAAATGTTTTGTTGAAATTTTCAAAAGAACATATACTTGTGTCAGCTGCATCACAGTGACTTATCAAAAGTTTTTTACTATTAAATAATGTATTGCAGTTATTAGATGTATAAATATTTTTTCCCTGTTTCTCATGTTTTGTTCTCATGTGTTTATTATACCTTGATTTTGAATTGTATTTGAGTTCACAAACTTTACAAATTAACATATTACAAATGTAATATTAATATACTTATATTTAAAAATATATATATATTAATGTAGGTACTTTGCAAAAATAATTAATGTAAATATTTTTATATCACTTCACTGAAAACAAAAATAATAACTGAAACACTCAAATCCTCAACAGTTCACTCAAATAAGCAAAGCATACTAAAGTGAGATTATATAAAGACAGATTTTTTTTATTGTCAATTTGTTAAGAAAATATGAAATACCAGTTTTGCAACAATTCTTTATATATATAATATACCTAATATAATATTTATTCTTGATGTACCTACTGTAGTACTACAGTTATTGTATTATAGTACTATACTATAATAAGATAACATATTTAACAGCTTGAAAATACTACATATTATGCCATGTTRTTAATTCTATAGTATTATCTTAATAGCATCAATGCCAGGGYGATTCACAATAGATMTTATTGCATCTATATTGTATAAWGTTATATATCAAATTAATTGGYACAATACAATTATAGTACCTACATTAAATTCAACTCATGGGATTAGCCAAAGTCTCAAATACCAACAGAATTCAAGCCTCTCAATTATACAAACGTTATCTCAAATAAGCAAATCTTCAATTAAGCACCCTTAGGGGCCAAAGGGGACTATTTCATATTTTTAGTACCAATAATCTATTATTTGGAAAACGTGCAAATAATATAATAATTAAGTTTTAATAGTAGGWATATATACTAAATAAGAAAATAAATAAATATTCCATTATCGCATAATTCGTCTGATTTAACTGATTTAACACAAATGACTCATGTCTTTTAACTCAAGGGACCACCGGCTCCGGTCGCCGGACTCGATGGCTAGATAAAGTAAAATAAGTATAAGTCCACCGGACCTCTCGATGATGGGGGCTCGGCCCCCAAACCCCCCAGAACTTTAGTAACATAAGTATATTTCAGTAAATCCCCTCCCCCACCGGCTCCGGCTACCTGGTGTATCCAGATAATCTCATTATAGTAACATACCTAATAAATTATTAGTAATAATTATCATTTGATTATAAATACGATTTTAGATAATATTATATTATTATGGCAATTGATATTGGCATACAATTAAAATGTCATTGCACCAAGTGGTGGATTCTAATGAAGTTAACTTCTCGTGTCTGTACTCTACTATTACTCTGTATACTGGATTTTTTTTATTTAATATGGAAAAATATAATTTAATCAAAATTTTCAAAATTTTTAATTGTGAGTTGAATGATCCTCTTAATTCAAATGTAATTGAGCAGCTCYAGAATTGGTTTCTTATTCCAAAAGAAGGTAACTATTTATGTCCTAGAGGGCATAAATTACGACTCGTAGCACGAAATCATGTTAAGGATACATATTCTTGGAGGTAAATATGCACACGTCATGACACATTTAATGACACTTTTTACCGTAGGAACAAATCCTATAATAATTATATTATATATTACATATAATATTATACTTTTAGATGCCGTGAAAWATGCACGGATCGACATAAAAAATCGATTAAATGTGAATATGAAGTGTCAATAAGAAAAAACACATTTTTTTCGAATTCTCACTTGTCGATTGCTAAGATTATTTTGTTAACCTATCTATGGATAAAACAAACCACCCAGACATTTAATATGGAAGAACTTAGCATCAGTCGACATACGATGGTTGATTGGGCTAATTTTTGACGTGAAGTAACTTTGGACCACATGGTTTTAAAAAATACTAAAATTGGAGGTGATTGCGTTGAAGTGGAAATAGACGAGAGTAAATTTGGCAAGCGTAAATACCACAGAGGTCATCATGTGGAAGGCCAATGGGTTTTTGGAGGTATTGAACGAGGCACTAATCGGYGCTTCTTAATTCCCGTTGAAAAAAGGGATAAAGAAACGTTGCTTAAAATTATTAAAGAATGGATTCTACAAATACTACAATAATTTCTGATTGCTGGAAAGTATGCATTTAAATAATAATTATRTGTATAAAATTAATACATTAGGTACTACTTTTAGGCATATGATTGTTTGAATGATGAGGGGTATAAGCACTTTACAGTCAACCACAGCATTAATTTTAAAGATCCAGATACCAATCAACATACAAACACGATCGAGGGACTATGGCGACATGC